TATTAATTATGGTCATATGTGGGAGGCAAGAGTAACAGACTGTCTGTATATCTCCCTTTAACCCATGAATGTTCACCTGTATTTTCAAATACATTTTTATTATGATAAAAATAATTTAAAATAACACCACATTAAATAAGGTTGAAAAAAAGATCCCTCATTCATTAATACCATGAGCAGTGATGTGTTTCCAAGTCCTACCTGCAAGATCAGATGAGAACACAGCAGGATTGGTAAACTCTTCAGGGTCTGAGAACAGATGAAAGATCTAGAGAGATTAGTGCCAAACACAGGCAAAACAGGAGCCGAGCGACAAATACCAGGCACGGTCTTCATCTCCTGTGTCCTGCACCCTCCCACCTTTCCCGTGCTGCCGGCCTCTTGCCACAGTTTCTCTCCACTCCACCCTCCTCACAGGCCAGCCAAGGACAGCCACATGGTGAGGGAGTCTACGACAATGCTGAGGACACTGAAGTGTTCTTCCGCTTCACATCTTTTCACAATTAATACCTAATGACCTAAAGTCCAATCTGTTATCGGAAAGCACACTTCAGTACACCACGCACAAACTGTTGTTTGCTGCAGCAACTTCCAAATAAAAAAATCGAAACACATAAGAGATGTATATAAGATGCTGAAATAAGGGACCTGGGATATAGTTCAGTGGCATAAGCATCTGCCTGGCAAGCTCAAGGTCCCAAGTTCAATCCCCTGTACCAGGAAAAAAAAAAAGATGCAGAAATACAAAAACACCTGGTGCATTTAGGGGCTTATTAAGAGTAATGAGAATACTGGAAATTAACATTCTTCCAGATTTTGTGGTCATGAGGCTATCCCATTCGCTAATATTTTTCTTATCCCATATTCTGCCTTTTCCCAAAGAGCTTCAGTCTGTTATGGGTGGGTTACTAAAGTTCAAGATCATATAAGAGCTTAAGACACAAGAAGACACTGAGATATGCTCCATCCCTGAATGTGTACTGTGAAATTAATTAGAATCCTGGGAACACAAAGGAAAAATGTAGAGGAATACTCCTCCTCCAGGTGCAGGCCCTATCTCTATGTCAACATCAGCTACCATGTAGAATGCCTTTATTGTGGGACAACACAATAGCTGAAAACACAGGCTCTGAAGGCAGCCTGCTGGGCCCGAGCTCTGCCCTAATCATTCACTTTATTGAGTGACCTTATCAAAACTTCAGTCTAAAACAAAATAATGCCTCACTAGAGAACAGTGTGACTCCCTTGACATACCAGGTCTAATAAACATTAACAATTACTGTCATTATTAAAATTGAAGCAAATAGTAGAAAGTAGTTTTACATTTTCCTGGGCCAGGCAAGTGGAAGTGTTTTCCTATCTAAAGTTTGAATCAAGCTAAGAATTGTTACACCACAAGATTATAGATTTAGCACAAAAACAATGTTGAATGTGAAGAAAGAATTGAAGATTATTTGGAACCTTTTAGCCTATTGATAAGAACCAAACATTAGTGGAATCTTACCACTTATTTTCAGGAAGCTGAATTTAATAGTTAAGGAGGCTGAGATTGTTGCTGTCGATACAATAATGTTCGATCCCACTTTAGCTTCTTACCGCCATGTGTCACACGCTTCTACTCTAGCCCCATCCCACCTCCCACACATCAGTTCTGGGCTCCAGCTCCACTGCAAACCCCTCAGCTTCCTTTGCACACACCTGACATCCACACTCTGTCCTGCTCTCATCCTAGCCAGCCTCTTTTCAGCAGGGAGCTCCCCACGCTTTCCCAGTACCAGCCAAAATGCTGCACCCACCGCAGAACTCTTCTCGGTTCTTAACCTTGAATGAACTTCTTCTTTCTTTGTCATTCAATAGTACATACTAAAGCTGCTGTCCTATGATTCCAGTTAAACTGTTTTATATTACACAGATGGGGAAACAGCTTTATCTTTCCCACTAGACCAAACACTTGGACGGAAGGGGGCCATGCCTTCTCTCCTTGAACTTAATGTTTTTTATTTTGTTTTTGAAGTCCTGGGGATTGAACCAATCCTCTGAACTAAATCCTTAGCCTTTTCAAACTTTTATTTTGACACAGGATTGTTTAACCCTACTAAACTGCCCAGGCTGGGCTCAAATGTGCAATCTTTCTGTCTCTATCCTCGCAGAGTGAAGTCCTTCTCTTTTACTTTGTCCTGGAACCATACGTAGGGCTACTTTGAAACTGAACTACGCATCCAGCCCCTTTTTACTTCTATTTCCATACAAAGTCTCACTAAGTTGATCAAAGTGACCTCACTAGTGGTTCTCCTTGCCCCAGCTTTTTGAACAGGTGGGATTATGGCTTCAACCTTTATAGCTGAATCCCTTCTTGCACAGAGAATAATGCAGTGTCTAAGAAAACACCAACTGTCTCAAAATGTATCAGTTTTGTAATCTTTACTTAAAACTGAAGTTAGTAGGTGATTCTTTCCCTGGAAGGTTACCCTTTCTCAAGCAAGCTTTCAGTTCATCTTCCTACAAGCTGCATGCCACTGCATTCTACTGCAGGCGGACAACCCAAAATGCAAGTTCAAAAGAATGGGATGTGAGAGTAAAATCTGATGCCCTGACAACATCTGTCTAAGTGTCACCATCCAGCTCTAGTTCCATGGCCAGATTCCCCCCCAAGCATGACAATCTGTCTTGATAAAGTATAGTTAGACTCATTCACACTAATACCATTGTCATCAGCTTTCCAGCCAACATCAGAAACCAGCAAAGCTCTCCTGTTGTCCTGCTCCATCTTACTACCTTTTGTCCATCCCCACTCATCCACCAAGGGCCCGTCACCCCACTCACCTACACACAAGGGGGAGACCCAACCACGATGATCTCAGGCTGTGGGCGGTGCTGACTGTGTGTCTTGCTGTAAAATTTCAGGTCAAACAAATTTACTATCTAATTTTTACTTCCAAGATCCTGGGGGTGGGGGCTTGTTTCTGGTAATGATAAGAGTGCTAACCCTGTATTTACATATTATTTAAAAGAAGCTACAATCATGTCCTGAATAATCTCCCCTTCCACTCTGTGATCTCTAGCTTCTCCCTCGTCTGCCTAAGCCAGTCTAGACAATTGCTAAGAGGATGTTGCTCAGCGCCAGGATGGGGCTGGAGAGTGGGAATCCACCCTCAATGTAAAAGCTATTCAAGATCTTTAAAAAGTACACCCCAACACTGGCCCAAAGAAGTTGTATAAAGTAACATATGCTATAAATCATATATTTAGTAGAAATGATGCCGAAACTTCCGGGATCGGACGCGCCATAAAGCGCTGCGTTGTTCGAACCGCCACTCTCTAAGTTACCAGACGCCTGGGCAGGCTGGGGCGATGCGGGCCGGGTACCTAGGGCGAGCCGGAGAGGAAAAGAAGCATCGAGTTGTCCCGGTTCCGCTCGGGGTCCCGGGGTCGCGGTGGCCCAGATGCAGGTGGCCCCGTGGTCCCCACACACCTGGCCTCCTGCGCTCGCCTGGGCTGACCTGCTGCCACTGCAGAGCCTGCCCTGCACCTCGCCGCTTTGCTTGAGCTCAGATGCAGTCGGGCGCCCCAACAACCTTCACCTGGGCACCTGCTGCGTCCCACCCTGCTGGAAGCCCAGGCCCAGAGCGCTAGGGGACACGGACACGGCCCGGGGAGCGCAGTCCTCTCTGCTCCCGTCTGCGCCCCGCAGCCGTGTCCGGAGACTGGACCGTTCTTCAGCGAGTGCCACCCCGGGACACACCACCGCCGCCGCCGCCACCAGGATTCCGCTACTTTTTGTCCTTCTACTCCTGGCTAATGGCGGCCCTCAGATTCCCGGGAACCTGTGCCCACGTGGAGAGCGACTCCACTCCAAAGGAGGGCGAGGAGGGGTGGGCGCGGGACCCCAGCCCGCACCCTCGGAGCCCGGCTCGGAGCCGCCCGGCCACGGAAGCCGGGTCGCGGTGGCCTCTCTGCTCACTGTTGGGGTCCCCGCAGCGCGGTTACCTGCGGGGCTCGGCGCACACAGGCGCGGTGCCCGGCGGCGCGGTGCCCGGCGGCCCGGGTGGCCTCTGACTCGGCGCCGCTATTTATCCCTCGGCCGCGTAGGGATGGGCCGCTAGGCGCTGCCCCCGGCCGCCGCCCTCCGCCCGGCCGGCCTCTCGGAGCAGGGCGCCCGCCTCCTCGGGCTCCACCCCCGCGCCCCCTCCTCCTCCTCCTCCTCGCTGGAAGTTTGTTCTCCCCTCGCCTCCGCGCTTTGCGGGACGCCCCGGCCGGTCTGAACTGGTTGTGACCGAGCGGGTGGCGGGGGAAGGAGGTGGCGGCGGAGACCGAGGCGGAAAAGCTGACGGCGGGGGCGCTGCGCCTGCTCCGGCCGGGCGGGCGGGCGGAGGGCTGAGGGCGCAGCCCGGCGCGGAGCCCCAGGACCCGGCCCGAGATGAACGCGAGCCGCCCTCGCCTCCCTGGCTCCCGGGGCCCCCGGGCGCCCTGTTGACCGGAGCTGCAGGCCCGGCTGGCGGTGGTCCCGGAGAAATAGGCACCGGAACGTGGGGAAGGCCGGGCGCCTGGGCCGCGGGAAGCGGGACAGCCGAGCGCCGCGTTTTGTGGCCGCCCGCGGGGCAGGGGCGTCCCGGGGTGCAGGGAGCGCGGGTGACGTCCAGGTTGTGCCAGGCTGCGCTATGCCGGCCGGGGCGACACGGGACTCACGGGCGCTGGTGGGACCCCAGAGTCGGCCGGGGCAGGCCGGAGGCGACAGTCCGTGGGAGCCCGAGCCACACGGGGTGTACCACCCGCCCCCCACGGGAGCACACCCTGTGGGATGGTGCTGCAAGCACCCATTTTGCTAGAAAGCCCCTCATCCTTTCTCCCGGCTTCTCAAGCGGACCGAGACCATCCATCCCCGACAAGAAGGTCCTTACGCGCTTAAAGCCCTGGGTTCCGACTAAGACAAGGACTGCACCTTGCAAAGAGTTCCTTTCAGAAATCCAGACAGAACTGCCTGAACTTCAGGGACATGATGCTCTATCTGTGACATCGGGAGATGTCATGTCTGTGAATGGAGTCTGTGTAAGATGACAGTTCAGGATGACCTGGGGACCTGGCCACCCTGACCCGTGTTCTGGAGGCATTCTCTGCCCCGCGCTCTCTCTACCAGTCCCCCCAACCCCACGCACGCGAGCACACACACACTAACTGGTTCTCAGGTTTTAGGGAAGAAAATGACCACAACAGTCCTTAGCCAAAAGCATTGATTCTCTCTGAAAGGAAGAAAGGGTACCAAATAGATAACAATGAGACTGCTTGCTGCGAGCTGCTGTTGGCCTGTAATCATTACCAGGTTAGTACCCATCCACAGCGTGCTGGTGCCTGGCCGTGCACGCGGTGCTTGCTTACCCAGTGCTCTTTCTTTGATTCAGACAGATCCTTCAGATCACCTCCTACCTTGATGGTGAATTGGACTAATATACTGGATACTATATTTTGAGAACAAGCAAATCCTGCTTGAAAAATACTCCTCCATCATCAACTAGTTTGTGAAATTTTGCCACATACCTGTTTTTACCTACACCGGTTTCCTCCACATCTCTTTTGTTCGTGGTTGTACAAACATTTGGCTTGCCTGGGCCACCCTGAGTAAAGAGGAATTTTTTTAGTCACATATACAACAAATTGCTTTTTAATATTTCTTTGCTTTACTATTTTAACTTATTAAATTATTTTACAAAATAACAGAAGCCCAACTTCAATAACCAAACAGGAAAACTTCCACATCTGCTTAATAAACACCTGTATTTACAGGCATGTGCATCTGTGGTAGGCTGAAATATTGTTACTCCTGTGTTTCACGCTGAGTCACACAAGTGCCTGGCACATCGGACATTTGTGTGCCCTGTTTGCTTGGCATGGACACAATCCAGGCTTGTGCACCTTAAATTGGAGACAAGCCAGCTGGAGTGGTGCACACCTGTGATCCCAGCGTGCTGGGAGGCTGAGACAGCAGGTTGGGAAGTCCTGCCTGGGAAATTAGTGAGATCCCGATCCCGCCCAGTGCGATGGCCCTAGGTTTGACCTCCAGACCAAAAGAAACAAAAAGGTGTTAAAGTCACAGAATGATGTTAAAAGCTCACATGTAGCCTCCAGGACAAGGTTGAACTTATGTGTTTCCTGTGCCTCAGAGTGAATCTGCAGGCCAGCCAGGCCACCCCGCCAACTCAGAACTGAAGTGTCCAGAAGGCCACTGCAGAGCTTAGAGCACCAAAGCTGTCTCTGGCGGGGCCACCACTGCGCTCAGGGGACTCTGGCAGGCCACAATGTGATAATTGCCCCATCCTCTGGGAAGGTCACTGTTCAGTCACAAGACAGCAGGGCCCCAAGACATGCAAGAAACAGCCAGCATTTTGGTCCAACTCTTGCCATGCCCCTGCATGGGGACTCAGCACTCAGGGAAGCTGGAGAAGGAACACCCTGGCCCTACCTTGCTAAAGCTGGGAAGACAAATGCGTGGTGGGAAGACAGCATAACCCAGCCTGGCAACCCTTACTCCCAGGTTTTTACATCCACTGACTTGGAGACACAAGAGTCCTGCCAGCCTGAGCCAGCCGTGTGAGAAAAATCCCACTGGTTTTCCTGTCCTGTGTGCCCCTGAGGTCGTCTCTAGGCCTAGGGGCAACATGCTGTCAGCCAGATGGAAAGGGAGAAACCCTTGAGAAAATGAAGAACAGCACACAAAAAAGAAGGGAATTTTGGGGCTATCAGCATCATTATTATTCAATTCCCAGTTCCAAGAAAAGAACTTCGTAACTTGTGAAATACTCTAAATTTCTCCTCCTGGGACTATTGGGTCCTCAGGCCTTGGAGAATGAGCTGGGGAGATGAAGCTAAAACCACTCCTCAGTCTGAGTGAGGAAGCAGGAAGGCAGGAGGGGATAAGGCCTGGGGCTGCTGGGAGTGCCTAGAGCCCTCACTTACTGAGCAAGGTCTCCTTTCTACAGAGA